AACTCCTACACCACCCTGGCTAGACTGTTTGGGAAGGGAATTGGCTTCATCCACGTAACGTTGCACAAGTGTCCACCTTTTGCACAAGGCAAATACAAGTGGGCCATAATGTCTCTTGGTATGGCTCATGTAGAACCCATTGGTGCAAGTGCTGAATGGGCAGTATCCAATGTGCTTTCATTGCTTCTGTTGCGCTACGGAGATGCACCGTGAATTCAAAGGAAGCAAGACTTCTAAGAGCAACCCTGGGAATGAATGAAAATGCTCACTTCTGGAAAGGGGCAGACAGTGCTATTTCTCCTAACCTGCCTATTCTGGAAACAAGACTTTCAGTGCATTTCCAATGGCTGCAGAACCCGACAGCTTCCCTTTGAGCCACCAGTTCATCCTGCTAGAGCATGGCCAGTGTTGGGTACAACCCTCTTCATCTTCTCAAATTCCAACCTAGGAATACAGACAGAAATATATATGCTGCAGAATGCTGGATGCTGTTGAATTAAGACATTCCATATATTATCTTCTTCTGATGAACCAGGAATCCTAAAAAAAACCCCCTCAGGTTCAGATAGTTATTGCAGTTTTAAGATGGTCAGATTTTTAGTCTAAATCTCTCATAGTTTTGATCAAGAGACATAATTTTTCATGTTTTGGTCTCATCTGTTTATTCCCTGTGGCTGAGATACTGAAAGCTTATTGGAGTTCTTGGAAAATTCATTCTGGTTTAATAACTTCATCCCCAGTTGAGTGACTTGTCAGTCAACTCAGAAAGAAGAAATCAAGAGTTTGCTGGCACTAATTTATTTGAAACACTTATGTATTTTCATGATTGCGCTGTGACTCATGATATCCATTTAAATATAAATCAGCACAGAAAATGGTGATGTTTTAAACCCCTTTCATGTGTACAATGAATGTGCATAGACTGTGCGTGTATGTGCAGAAGGCACATAGCTTTCCTTCTATGCACACTTATTTTGAAGATCCAGGTAAAACCTGTGCCTGAATGACAGCATGACAGGGAAAATTGCCATGGCAAACAAGCCTGTGCTTTTTCTGTGGTTTGTGGGTTTTTGTTCTCCCACTCTCAGCAAACCCGTTTAGCAAAATCTGTGCTGCATTGGTCTGATTAGCTTTTGGGGTCCTCCCCTTCTCCACCTCCCAAGTGTACCGCCATCTTTGTATTGCTCCCTAGACACTGCACCCCCCCAGGAATGTTCATTAAAATCAACATTTTTTTCTCAGATATCCTTGCTTCCCCCTCCAAGCATCCACCTCCTTTCTCCTTGTTTCAGAGAGTAAGCAGTGTGACAGCACATCACTCAGCCAACAGGAACAAAGTGAGTGATGACATGTGTGTTGCTAGGGTGCTGCAGATCGTAGAGATTGGATGCTTGGAGCAGCCCCTTTCAGCCTCTCTTTCTACAGGCCTTTATGGTGTTTCTTCGCAACCAATGCTAAAATGAAGAGCCCAGGCTTGGACCAAATGAGATATCATGATGAAGCATGGGAGCCTTACACCAAACCATTGAATCTCTCCATGGTTTTGGGAGCCAAATGCACGTCATTGAAACCTTGCAACTAGGTTCCGATGGCATGACAAACAAGGCAAACCCAGCCTTTGTGCGTTGGGGTCTCTCTGCACAATTAGAAACTCTTTTCATGAATAGAACAGCATGTGCATTGACTACAATGTGCAATGAGCATTTATGGGTGTAATCCTCATCCTCCAGGTATTTTTATTCATCATCTGGAAGACACATTGTTGTTCTTGTTAGTTGTGAAGTTGCGTCCGACCCATCACGACCCCATGGACAAAGTTTCTCCAGGCCTTCCTGTCCGCCACCATCCCCCGGAGTCCCCTTAAGCTCACACCAACTGCTTCAGTGACTCCATCCAGCCACCTCATCCTCTGCCGTCCCCTTCTTCTCTTGCAGTCAAATGTTCCCAGTATTAGGTTCTTCTCCAGCGAGTCCTTCCTTCTCATTAGGTGGCCAAAGTATTTGAGTTTCATCTTCAGCATTATTATTATTAGAACATTTCTATGCCGCCCCTTGCCGAAGCATCTGGCCTTCTAAAGAGCAGTCAGGGTTAATCTCCTTTAGGACTGACTGGTTTGATTGCCTTGTGGTCCAGGGGACTCACAGGAGTCTCCTCCAGCACCACAATTCAAAGGCCTCAATCCTTTGGCACTCAGCCTTCCTTATGGTCCAGCTTTCACAGCCATACGTTGCAACTGGGAAAACCATAGCCTTAACTATACGCACTTTTGTTGGCAGGATGATGTCTCTCCTTTTTAGTATGTTGTCTAGATTTTTCATAGATTTTCTCCTTGAAGACACATTAGATGACTTTATACTGCATATGAAAATGCTTCCTCTCCCTAAAAGGTTTTTGGGTTCCCTTGTCTGTCTGGAAGTATCTGTCTGCACAACTGCCTAAGATAAATTCATTTGTTTCAGCATCTATTGTAGGCAAGCAATAGTGATGAGAAGATACAGTTACAGTTAATGAATAATTATTGAATTATGTTCTTCAGGATTATGTCGTATTCTAAGCCTGGTGGAAGGAATGTGCAGAAGTGGCACTAGCACCCAAACAATGCTTTAGACCCCTAGTTTCATACAAGCCAAAAGGCACATCATGCCCTGTTTGTGTCATATGAATTTATACAAGTTGATCTAGGAATGAATTACAGGATTCACATCCTGCTGACCCACAGTTGTTCGAGTACTCGGAGTTGACTGAAACAACGAAAAAGCTCAAGCAACCAGAATTATTGGGACACCAATGTTTTATTTAACTAGCAAATGTATTGGGATGGGAAAACCTCACAGTTCAATTTTACTCATTGCCCAACGTGTTTAATGACGGAATGCGCTGGCTGCACCCTTCAGTGCGTCACACAGAGCTTCATTCCTGCTACACTTGAGGTCATTTATGACATTATGCTTTCCCACACACAACAATGAAACCAATCAGATGTTGCCACCTCGATAGTGAGTTCAACCATGCTTACGACGTAATACAGCAAACAGCTATCTCTATGTAAGCTCCAGGGGCATTTAGTGACCACAACAACAGGACTTCTGCAGCTCATTTGTATACAAAGCAGATCTTTGCAAAGGTGAAGTGATTCGTACAGTTTGACATGATTTCCATACATGCAAAGCAAGTGCTCTGTGATTGAGTCATATCATACCAAAACTGCCTGACTGGTAGTTTTCTCCACTCTTACATGTTATCTCAGTTCGCACATAATGATGACACATTGTGAATTCATTAACAATTTTCCGTGAGGCATGCTGGATTGCATTTTGTGTACGTAACTTCTGATTGGCCAATTAGAACTCGCTACGTGACATGCAAAACCAGCACTAGGTTAATTGTAGGTTGAATAACCCACCATTGCAATGAGCTGTTAGCTTAAGTGTGGGTTGTTTATTCCACAATGAATACACAGTGCTGGGTTTCAGAAGACGTCAAGCAACAACCTTAGATGAGACCAGTCAGGGATTACATATGCAAAATGGTGGTGGCACAGCAAATTGTGGCTTTATTAACCAATGTTCTCCCATTGTTACATATGAGCAGGCCCTTTGATACAGTCCTTTTTAGAGCCAACATAGGTATTACACAGCAGACTTATGTAACAATCTCCCAGTGTTATTTTAATGGAAAAGCAGCTGTAGCAAACTGCCAATTTGACCTGAGTAATGGTCAGGAAAGGGCTACTTAAATTTTTCTCTGCTGGCTATTTTGCCACTCAAAATCATTTCCAGGTGCTTGTCTATACCATCCTTCCATGGAAGGAAAAGTACTATATCTGAAATAGTTGATTGGGTTTTTATTCGGGGCGGTGCAAATGAAAGGGGTCAGGCCATCTGTTCCCCCTCCTCAGCCCATTCTCCATTCAAATGGGCACTTTCCACGGCTTAGTTTCTTCTTTTTAAGTTAATAAATGTCTGGAGATTGTTTTGCACATCTGCAGTGTAAATGACCAAGCTGAGACCTCTGTTTCAATAACTTGAAGCAATGGAGTTGATGGATGATCTTTAACATTAAGCCAAGTTAGCTTGCAACAATGATGGGATCTGAAAACATACATAGGCATTACAATTTCTGTCTCTTTTACTGCAGTTCTAGACCCCAATAATATAGCCTTGGAAATTGTGCATGTTAATCTTTACATGACACAATGAAGTAGAAGCTGCCGTTTGTCTGCCTTCCACAAACTTCCCACATGCAGGAGAAGAGCAAAAGCATTGAAAGAGACAAGGATTCACATGCTTGAATATGAGGTTAAGGTAGATCTGTGAAGGTGGTCCTTTGGCTCTTCTTCGTCGTAGTGAAGCCCACATGGTCCTAAAGGGTCATTCTTCCCTCTGCATTGAGATCTCTGCAAATACTTAGGATACAACATCAGCGCCTTCTGAAATGGTGCATCCTTGTAGAGGGATATCCAAGAGACAAACATTGTGTTATTAATGTTGAATCTATTCTGATGAGGACAAAGAGCTAAACCTTCCTTTGCTATTTTAGGAGGAAACTGAGATTGTCTCTTGTCTGTCTTCTGTGTAAATGACAATGCATGTAAACTATTAGAAGATAAGGCCTTGAGAGAGAAAGAATGAAAATAATCCATTACCTACATTTTCTTTTAATAAAACTATGGTTCAAAAAGTGACTTAGTGTGCTATGATGGTTCCAGAGTTAAAATGTCTAGTGCTATGAAAACCATTCTTTAGACTGTTCTGCATTTCACAAAGAGTTGATTTTGGACTTTTAGTTTGCCAAAGCTGCATTTCACAGCCTGTAAATCAGGACCTGAATGTCCTCTCTCCGTGTTCATACATTAGGTCCTACAACAGATGGATTTCTTTTCTTATTCTACCATTGATGAGAAAAGGCATCAAATCTTCTTTTTTTCCTTTCTATTTTTAAACTTCTTCAAGTTTGTGAGCAACAGAGTGTTGAGTGTATCTATCGATCCTTATGCTCAACAAAGTTTTCTCTCTTGTTTCTCTGACAGAAAAATCCACCTAGAAGTCAATAAAATCCAATGCAAACAGAGTCATGGTTGCTTTATCACTACAACACAGGCCCCTGCTCTTCCAATGTTTAGAGAAGCCATCTGCAAAGAAGGAACAGATATTATATTCAGGTTCTATATTCAGGAGTGAAAAAGCATTACTCTTAAACTATAAAATTCTGGAAAGTCTACGTCTAAGGGAACAAATAATTCATTAGTATGGAAAATAGATATTGCTATACGTTTGTGTCCTCATGATTCTGGATGGAAGAGAAGATAGCTAATCCACTAATTGTGGATTAGAGAAGATAGCTAATCCACAATTAGTTACTTGGTCTGTTTCTTCTGGTCCACAATCCCTATCAGGCTTTCAATAAAATTCAAATTTTGGTACTACATCCTAGGGTTTGCCTATAAATTCAATTCAATTCTTTACTTACTTGCTTTTTTGTATCTTGACTTTCCACCAGATGCTGCTAAAAGCTAACAGCAATACAAGTCAAACATAGCATAACCATCTGAGAGAACATAGAAACAAGGAAGATAAAATATAGAAATAAAAATGGTGCTCAATGGAACAAAGTGCAGTACACACAGGGCTCCTGAACAAACCAATTTGCACAAATGATGATCTACATAAAATCATCTGTGATGGAGAGGACTTCTGTGTAGCTCCAGAACACGGGGGAAGTCTCTGCAGCCTTCTCTCAAGTCCCCCACCCAAGATAGAATAGAATCGAAGGTGAAACGAAGCGAAGTGAAGTAAGACAAAGCGATACAAAAACAGAACACCCTATCCAAAGAGGCACTGGCTTTCTGTTCTCTCCCTTTTGCAGCAAATGTCACAGGCCAAGCTTCTTTTGAAACTTAGGGGAGCTTCAAAAATGGTTGTTCAAAGAAAAAAATTCTTCTGAGCATTCACAAAGTCTTGAAGTACTGAAGTAGTGCTTTGGATTATAAGACATCATTTCCAGATCTTCTGTGGTTCCAGTCACGAGCAATATATTAGGCATGCCTGCTGTCCATGTTCATTTTGAAATGGAAGTATTTCTGAAAGTCAGTCCTCTATGAGGGTAATACTTATTCTGTGCAACTTGGGGATACTGCTATATACTTCTCACTGGTTTTTTTTTAAAGTAATGCTTATCATGTTTTTCCATTAAAGAAATTCAATTTGTTATATAGCTTATTCCTTTTAATAATTACTAAGTTGTATTCCTTTCAGTATAAGCACGAGGGAAACAGCAAAGCTTTATGTTAGTGTATTAGCTTATTAGATGAGGTGCTGATTTCTTTCAACTTTTACTAATTTCTCTCACTTTGATAATTTAGATCTGACTTGCTCCAAAGGCTTGCTCCACCTGCCTTTTTCTTCAGCATCTGCTATTCCAGATCTGATATTCTTAATTTTCCCTTGAAATTTCCTTCCCTTGCTTGCTGGCTCAGCTTTCCTACTCCTCCAGACCCCTGCCTCTCTTATTCTTCATTTGTTTTCAGTTCCCTTTTGCCTAATTTGGGGCTTCCTTCTAAGTAAACATGGCTCAGATCAGGGTATAAAACTAAAATACAATCGGAGCAATATACTCACAAGCAGTTTTCAAATCAGTAATAACATGCACTAAACTTAATTGATAAAATAAATTAATGGATCAACATTAATCTCTCTTACTTGCATATTTAAGTGCAACAATATGTGCATGTGCACACACACACACACACACACACACAATGTAGCTTAATCACGTTTGCCAACAAAACTAGGCAAAAAAGACCTTCGCTGCTATAAACAGCAGAAGCTCTTTTAACAAATCCTGGAACATGATAAAAGTTGAGCTATTGTCCAATTTAGAAGCAAAGAAAGTATTTTGATAAGAGATCAGACAAATAAGAATCGTGTTAACAAGTAACTGCCACCATTTCATAGAACTTTTTCTTGGTTTCCTAGGAAACAACATTGAAGGTCTTTGGATAAACTCTTTCAGTAGTCGTAGAATTATAATTGCGTAGCTGTGAAGATCTTGACTACTCAGCAGACCCAAGTTCATAGTGAAAAAACATAACGACATGCAAGCAAGGCATAAAACAAACTCTACCTGTGTCCATTCATTAGTTTGAGGGTCATATGACTCCATGGTGTTTAAGTATGTTTGGCCATCATATCCGCCTACAGCATATAATTTATCACCAAGGATACAGACACCAACAGCATCACGAGGCATGCTCAGTGGAGCTACCATTGTCCAAGTATCTGTTTTTGGGTCATACCTGCACAACATAAGAAAAGGCACATGTCTTCAGAACTGTTTTAATAATCATGCTACATGAATCCATTAAACAGAAGTGTTGGTGTGAACACCCTCCCAGCCTCTTTCGCAACAGGGACAAAAAGTCATGCCCAAGTATCTTCCTCACTACTGCAATTTCAATAACTTTAGACAGTTCCTCTCATTCATCCAAAGATAGATCTGTTGCTAATTGGTATGAGATAGATACCAAAACTGTTCTTGCTTCCCAGTTTTCCCCAGCAAGCTCAGATTAGACTCCACTGAAAGCTGATAAGCATGGCATGAAGACCATATCATCTTATTTGATCTCAACATCTGGTCTTAGGTGGATTACTGCATCTATGCATGAAGATTCCATTTAGTTATGATAGACCAATCATCTATACATTTATCTAATCCTTTTGAAAAGCAATCTACATTCTGGGGTATCAGTATGGTTAAATACTGATGATGAGAAAATTTTCACCAATGTATCCTCGTCTCAAAATCAGTTTGGTAATGGAATACGGCACATGGATGTTTGCTTTGCTCCAAATTAGCCACACATACATATGTTTTTTGCAGTAGGTTTTGAGAAGATTTCTATTCAATAAGAACTGGTTCTGAGTGATACATCTTAAGTATGACAAATATCATGCAATATGGATTGCAAACGTGCATTTCACATCTCCATAACCAGTTAAAGATCTTAAATATATGCAAATATACCCAAGCATTCTACATTCAATGCTAATTATCAGAAACATTTTCTTTTAGTTACCCTTTGGTTCAAATACAGTATATATCATGATTTTATTTGGATGTTACTGTGCTATGTGAAACTAACTAAAGCAGGGGTTATTTCCCTTTCATTTAAAAAAAAAACATGTATCTGGAAAGACAAAAAAAGTGTGACTAAAAAAAAGTGTGCATTATAATAGGACTGTCGATATTTTCCAGTTATGAATTAATATTAATGAGATGTCCTTTTGCTAGACTTTTATAGCAACTACTTCACTGTCTATGATGGCAAGGATTATGAGGGCTTTTAAGAAATGAAAAGCTCAAAAGCCTTTCTCCTTGCCTTCAGCTCAGCAGCTCCAAATTGATTTCTTTTTGTATTCAGGAACTTTATAGTATCTCCTGTTTCACCCTGGGGCACATCAGGTTATTACAAAGATGAAGTGTGCAGTCATTTTTAGCTGAAAAAATAATGCCACAAAATGAAGGCAACATTTCAACACCCATTTCTTCCACACTGCATTTTGGGGAGCTTTAAGTATTCTATTAGTCCCTTGTTACTTGTTTATTTTAAAAAATCAAAACGAAACAAAAAAGCATGCCACTTCTATGTTGTTAGACTGCATTTTCATTTTTCCTGGTTTTGCAGGCATTCACCTTGACTGATGCAGTTGGAAAAGACAATTCTGAATCCAACACTCTATTAAAGTTTACTGCCCTAGGACACATGAAAATAAAACACACTTTCTAATACTGATTGTAAAATGTTCAGCAAGCCTGGATCTGCAATGATCTTGAAGCCAGTGTCTCCCTTTAATTTAAGGTCATGTAATTTAACGATTTGTAATATACATTGATTATCTAAGTTGAAGAACAAGTCTTCAAAATGGGCTTCCATTTTTGAAGGGCAAGTTAGCAAACAAAGAAAGATGATTCAAAAAGGCAATTTTAGGGAAGAAAAGGAAAGGGAAGGGATGGGATAAACCTATGCCCATTGTCATTTTTTCCAGAAATAAATTCCACAATTATATATCCAGAAATAGATAACCAAAAAATTAAGTTGTTTTAGACTTAAGAATATCTAAAATACACAGGCTGTATTGTTTGCATTCAGAAATGTCACATATAAACACATACTGGAAGGATACCTTTCAACATAATCCAGAAGTCTGGAGCAATGGTTAGAAGCAGGGGCATCATGGCCTCCGACAGCATAGAGAAAACCATCACATGTGGCCACCCCAACACCTCCTCTCCTCTTACACATTGGTGCACACATGTTCCATTTGTTTGTGTGGGGATCATAATACTCCATGGAACTCAAGCAAGAACTTCCATCTCGCCCTCCCACTGAGTATAACCTAAACAAATAAACAAAAAACAAACAAAAAAAAACAGGATACAATTATTAAGCATAGTGCAAAAGATGAGAAACAAAAATTGTGAACGTTGGAACTTTAAGTGCCTTCCCATGTCCATCTACAATGTAATGAAAGTGCTCTAAAATATTTATTCCCCATGGGAGTTGAAAGCCATGAGTGTGCACCATTCTCATGCAATATTATCTTCATTCTTGCTAATACTTGTGCCTGTGTATTTGGAAGTAAAACCTAAAATAAGATAGTTTTTGCATCTTTCCTGGGTATTCAGAAGTCTATCAATATATGCATTACATTTTAAAATTATTATTATTTGAAGGAAGACTCTGAGGAGCGGCTGTTCTTGGAAACTTATCCTGACCCATCTGAGCCTACAGCTTGTCAAGAGCAGCTGAACCACAAATAGTTAAAGACTGTCATTTGAGGGGGAGTCAAATGTGTGTGGAGCAGTGCCTTGCTCAAGTTCATGACAACTTGAACTATTCTTGGGGGAAGGTTATGTATGCCATGTGATTAAAACACTACGTTCCCTGTCATCCACTGAGGTTTTGAGAGGAATGAAAGGAAAAAGCTGGAATCCTTTGCTCTGATACAAAGCTGTAAGTCTGAAACCTTTAACAGTATAGCACAGTGAGGAAAGCTTCTGGAAAGAGATGGGTCCTTTTATCTTTTCCCCTACCCAAAACCATCCTTATCTTGAGTTCCTTAATAGCAGGGGCTCCTAAACTTTCTACCTGTAAGGGCTTCCGTGAGAGAGCTGAAGAAGTCCAGTCTCAAAATGGCAGTGCATGGAGAGGCTGTCTGGAAATAGTGGCAGGCAGAGGCAGAGCGAGTCATGATCCGTTGGCAATGACTGATATCATTTTAATGCATAACCCTTTTTGGAAATGACTAAATGGGGGCATCACAACTAGGGCTCCCCCTTCCAGGCAGGGTTTGTTTGATCCAGGGCTCTCAGTGGAGGACTTTTAAAATTTCATATTGTTTTTCTCCTGCATGCTCCTCAAAGTATTCTTATTCCTCTCGTATCATTTCATTTCCCCCTCATGTTTCACTTGCAAGCTCTCCCTCTGCACTGCCAATTTTTCAGTTCCCTACTCCTGCTGGAGGGCTAAAGTGAGGCCTGCCTAAAAGCAGGCCGAGACCTATTGAGAAATATTGGCTTACACTATCCTACCGGGATAAGATATATGCCACAAATCAAGAGAGAGAACAGGGAGAAAGGTCTTTTTTTTTTCCATGCCCCAGATTGAACTAATCTGTCAGTTTAGCTTGCTCCTACATTTAATTTTTTTTCAATTTTGAGTCCTTGGCATACCACTTAAGGAGAAATTTTTCCCAATTTTGTTAAGCTCTTATAAAAAGAGCAACCAACAGAACAACCTTCTCACCTCTGCCTGCATATCCAGAGCTATCGGACAGCAAAGCATTGGGGTTCACCTGGAATCCAGCACCGACCTTGAGTGCTCAGCACCATGGACAGCTACAGGGAAATATCCTTTTTCTGTGACATGAAAACTCCCCGATTCAATTCTCTGCATATCTAGCTACCAAAGATCACAGCTATCATGGCTGAAAAAGCTCTGAGACTATGGCAGTGGCTCCATGAAAAGCATATAATCAGGGGAGCAAAGTCAATTTGTCACCGCATGTACATTTAAGAGGGAGCTGTTGCGTGCATGTGTGTCTTGCATGTACATTAGGGATGGGTGAGGAGGCTGTTTTGGGGGTGCGAATCCATCAGACTCCCTGGGCTTCGCTCCCTGGACTTTGGTCCACTTCACTGCAGTCCTGCGTCCAAGTTCCTGGTGAGCAGGTCCAGTGTTCACCAGGAATGGAGCCCCGTGTGAATGCTGTGCAAGCACTGACCCTCTTTCACATCACAGGCAGCTGTCTTTGTTGATGCTGCTGCTCACGATGCAAATGAAGGTTACTGATTGTGCAGCCTGTGCAGACTTCTCTTGGCTTGGTTTGCTTTCCAAGACTGGGTCAAGCATGGGGAGAAATCCGCAAACACCAAAAGAAGGTATTCCACTGGGTTTTACCCAAACTCTTTTCACACACTACATGTATAAATAGTTACATGTGTATGTGCATGTATGCATTTCAAGCATCATATGGTATGCATCTTAAAGATGTAAATGTTTGATGATTTGAGCTGTTGAAAATACAGAATAAATAAGATGACAGTCTTTGAAAACTAGTTTAATGTGTAGTTTCCAGGAAAACAGGAAAAATAAAAACCTTACACATTGCTAGGGATTTAGAAAGTGCCACTGAATTACAAAGTAATTCAAGCCATCTTAGTCATAAGTACCCTGACTGGTATATCTGAGGGAGTGATAGAACTTCGCTGCAGCCCTCCATGCATGCCCTTACTGGCAACTGACAGTAGATTACAGTTTTATTCACTGATCTCTAAGGTCACAAATCTTTCCCTTCAAAATGGAATTCACTTTATATTTTGTTGGTCTGGTAAACCCCTAAACTGTCACCAAACCACTAGCTCACTGGACTCTTTTCCAGTGAACCCAATGGCTGCAAAGCATCTGAAGAACACAGTCTTTGCTAGTACAGGATATGCGGGAACACCCACTCATAATAACACACAACAGAGCGAGGGCCTCCCAGCCCATCTAGTCTGACCCCCATCTCCAGCCGACTCCGCTCATGACATGCCTACCATGTGCATGTCCAGCTTGTCCTTGAGCACCCTCACTGATGGGGCTTCAACCACCTCCCGTGGAAGCCCATTCCATACCCTCGGGGTCCTAACTGTCAGGAAGCGCTTCCTGGCATCCAAATTCAACCTTGATTCCCTGAACTTTGCTCCATTGAAGCGCTCCTGCCTTCCTCTGCAGGGGAAAACAGGTCTCTACCCAATTCCGTGTGACACCCCCTCACATACCTGTATGCTGCCAATAGATCCCCTTGCAGTCTCCTCTTCTGCAGGCTGAAAATACCCAGTCCCCTCCAGTCCCACCTCATATGGCTTTCTCTGCAATCTGGTCCTGCTTGTGGCCCTACACTGCACCGATTCTAACCAGGCTATATCCTTCCTGTAATGTGGAGCCCAGGACTGAACACAATACTCCAGTTGGGAGTGCACCAGAGTCATATGGAGTGGTAGTTATACCTCTTTTGATCCAGTAGCCACACTTCCAGCTGTGCAACCTAGGGTAATGTTCACCCTCTTGACCGTTGCATCACACTGCTGACTCACAATTAGCCTGCAGTCAACCAGTACCCCGAGGTCCCTTTCACAAGTGCTGCTCTCCAGCCACTTGTCCCCTAACCTGTACTTATGACACCTACTAAAGTCCATGCAAAAGCAGAGAGCAGACCTTCTTCTCAAGACTCACAACCCTGGCTAGAGACCCAGGCACTAGACTTTGCTACTTGAAACTGTGTGCATGGCTTTGCCTATGCAATCACTCTTGTGGCTTCCATGCATTCTGCTAAGATGCTCACACAAGCCAGTTGTTAGGTTGCCAATAACAGAGCATGAAAGCAAATATTTTCAAGGACACCTGTGACAATCTGTTTGCAAATAATTCATAAACTGAAAATGTTATGCATCTAAGCCATATCTTCCGTAAGCTCAAAAAGAGATTTTAAAAATAAATAAATCCTTGCACATGAATAGTCCCATTTCATTCTGTGAAAATTGGTGCTCAGGGACTGCATTCATCAATAAGAGGAATGATTAATAGATTCCAATAGGAGGGACCAAGCAGGAACCGATTCCATTAGGCCACTAATGGAGAAGGAAAATGCAAACTACCTATTCCTTTGTTCACGGCTGAGGCTGAAACCCTCTAGCCACAAGGTAAGCCTCAATGAACTCAATGGGGTTTGCTTCTGAGTATTTATAAGACTGTACTGTATAGGATAGCACTGTAATCTACATACAGTACACCAGTACTCAAATTATTATTGAGACATTAGTTTTCAGTTATATCACCATGTGACATATTTTTAGAGAATGCCAGAGGCTTACATAGCTGCTAGGTAGCTAAATACATAGATAACTGGCTGAAAAAAATAAACTTTAGTTCTACTTAGTATTGCAGTAGAAAAAAAATCTCAATAACTAAAATTCAAAATCCATTTGGAAAGTTGCTGTAGGGCAAATAAAGCATAATTGGTTCTACCACATATAAGTGCACATGAGAAAATTATTCTGATTGCAATCGAACAGTGTTGACACACTGAATTCATTTCTTCTAAGAATTCTTTCACAGCTGGTTGTCCATTGTGCATTGCCTAGAGAATAACAAAATGCCTAGAAACCTGGGCCTTTTTAAAGTGCAAGCACTGAGCATTTTGGGATGAAAAAGAGTGTGGCAGTGAAGGAATTATTTACTTGGAAGCTTTTATTATCCTCAACGCTTCATGAATTCTGAGCTAGTTAAATATACACTTAAGGTTTCATTGTTAATGAAGCTGTATTACATTACTAGTCCTGCATCATTTGACTGCATGACATTTTGAGATATTTACATTAGCCTCATACCGTAATTGCCAAGGGAGTCTGGAATGCCTTTGAGGCATGTCTCTCATAAAATAGTATTTTCTTATAAGCATGCCATTGGGTCAGAACAATTTATCTGCATTCGCATTTGGTTCCAATTGTGCAAGAAAACTGCTTAAGAAACTGGTAAGTTAATATTCAGGTTATTGATTTATAAGTTAACACCAGCAAATGGCTGGGTTAAAATAATTATTGTACTGACTGGCTATGGATGGGGTAAATGCAAGAAGAATGAGCAACTAAATCATAGAGATTGTAGCCTCAAAATAGACACCATGCCGTAAGGGTATAACCCATGCAATGTTGCCGTCCATTCTTCTTTCCCATATATGGCTGGCAGGTTCATGTTAAATATTACACTTTCTGCCAAAGATTGTATTCAGTTGGATGGAACACAAGTTATGTAAATCTGCTTTAAGTTGACCTTGTGCTAGCAGACACAAAATCA